AGGTGGTCAAACGTGCGCTATCGATGAACAACCATTTCCGGTGAAGAAGCACTGACCTCATCCAAAGCTGACCGTATTACTGGATTTTAATAATGATGACAAAAAAATCACTCGAACAGTTCGGCTCGTGTGATTTGGGTCTTCATTTGTCAAGGACGAGAAAGTGGTGTAAACAAATGGCATTATGCGGTCACGGAAGCTGGTTTATGACTTTCGTTCTTATGTCGTTTGTACTAATTAGCACGACCAACTCATTGAACCTCTAGCCTTTTATTTCCATCGCAGTAATTTTTTACTTTTCACCGAATAGAATCAATCATGGTAATTGAAATGCGACTTAAAATGAGCATTTGGTTACATCATTTGAAAGTTTTGGTAACCGTTCAGGAAGCCTCGCACAAAAATGTTCCTCATTAACTACGGATTATCCTTGCCGTTGTTTCCTTAAGCTTTAAAGAGAAACTTCACAAATGCAGAAAACCACCTTAATGTTAATGACTTAGTGTTTAGTTCTGTAACAAGAACTACATTATTTATGTCATAGTCGTTGAAGGCACAGTACAATGCCTGATAGTTGTCACCAATTTGTCTAGGGAGGAATGTGCCCTTTCATTGGATGTAATACTCCAATACCAAAATGATTTATATCACAGTCTGTAACGTCAGTTGTTTACTCCGCCTCGTTTGCGTTGAATGGATTATTCTTTTAATCATTTTTCTGCCTATTCATCCCATGCAGTGTACTCGTTCTTCACATGGATCGCATTGGTTCAGTTAATTCTCTCTTTCTATCTGCTCTGGCAACAATTGGGTTTGGCCACTCTGGCCGGGATCGGACTGCTTCTGTTGATGCTACTGTTCAATGCCGGATTGATGTGGTTCTTACAAAGATTTGAGGTACGTCCGCAAATCAGCTCTGGTTACGCTAAATTATCGTTACAACTTTCCAAATATGAAGGTTTTTTCGTTTCTTGTGGCTTATTTTTATCAGTTTTATTGGACCGTGATTGAGTAACTCAAATGCCTCACTTTAGCTGTTGACGAACTATTCGGTAACCGAAACACATTGTCCCTAACTGTTCATGATATGCTGTATGACAAACTGCTTGTACAAACTCACCACCGCCCATATGCGTCGTCTTATCATACCGAAGGGAAATACCGATCAATCGAAGTTCGGGGTTCGGTTACAGTTCGGATTTTCCAACCAATAACCATGCAACATCGTGCGGCGTTATTGGTTGCTGGTTGGCTGCCCTTACCAGTGAAGGAATATGCAGAAGAAGAAAAGGATCTTCAAATCATTGTCAGGGTGAAATAAAGAATTCATCGAAACTAAGTTTACAAGGAAAGATAGATGAACGAATGTCACCGTTTATGACACTCAGTATATATCTAGAACAATATGTATTGTGGTCCTGCGAACATGATATCTGCATTATAGAAAGTGTCGAAGAGTGGATGTGTAGTCCCTGCAGCCTCGACTGGGTCTAAAACTCATCGGGTTCCCACTCATGCACCGTTTTTCTGCANATTATGCCGCAAGAATTCTGGAGACAATGTTGATTGAACTAGTTCCTCCGTGGCTTCCACAATAAAATCTTTTACTATTTTTGTACATCGGTAGGGTGTCGACTCACACCACTCCCTTTTTAACCTGGTACATGTTCCACACCATTCCTAAGAGTTTTGTCAACTTCATTTTTCGAAGCCGATGGGGACAGCTTATCCGGGACGGAATTCTTCACGCTTTGGGATGACTTACTTCATGGGAAACATCCATTTCAGATGGAAGATGAATATCAGCTGGTAGTAGTTTTCCAGGTGAGCTGGGGATTTACAGCTCTGATGTCAATGGAGACTATTTTTACTGAGACCAGAAATGTTCTACCCACCACTCAGGACGGCGTTCCTGAATATGAATTAATGTGACATCAGACTCCTTTCATACCTCACGTTGCTTTTCCTTGTACCCTTTTTCTAGTCCAGCGGAACAGACTGCGGTTGTTTCTTATAGTTGCCACCTTCTCCATCTTTATAAATTTTGGTACTCACTGCTTCTGGCGATCATTCCACAGGCTCTTGATGAGCTGTCGTTTAAGGGATTGACACATTGTCGCACTAATGTTAAGGAGGAGTGGTTCTGGGAGTGTTTAGCAGAGCAGCAGAGGTCGAAGAGATCCATCGTTTATGCTTTGTTCGTTCACCACTGTGCCGTTGTTTCGATCTACATTTGGATAGCTTTGTTGATTAAGGTGCCGTGTTCGGCTGGTGGTTCAACAGAGAGGCAAACAAGGGCCTTCCTTCGAAATGCCATTCCCAACTATCTCTTAAATCGTATTGTGTATCCGTTTCCGGCGGTTTTGTTGCAGTTGTTTTCCAGGCCTAAAATGAATCTGGTTCGCATCAGAGTATGTTCTGTGTTCACGGGTGTCGACCAATGAGGGTAGCGGTTTTAATTGGATTTCCGCCTGTGGTAGCTAATGATGATGTGGTCGATCTAAGCTATCAAGGAATAGGAGTGAAACGGGGTTGTTTCTCGTTGGGAGAAGTTGGTGTTTGATAGGAACAATCCGTAGTCTGCGCAGAAATGACGTATGCGATCTTTATCCGTCCGATTAACTGAAATGGCTTTCGGGTTACTTAGGCACCTTTTAGGTTCGTCCAGGGATCCCATTTAAGCAATAAAGTCTCCGTGAACTACTTCGATATACATTGCCCGAACATTTTGCAGCAATTTAGAGAAATCTTTGTAAAGGTCATCCTTTATTTTAGGTGCACTGCAATCAGTCACTGCATAAAAGGGCACGACGAATAAGCATCAGCGGTTTACTCCGTTTTCACTTCAGTCGTTAGAACCATTAACCATCCACTTTTGTGCGCCGGTTTTGGTTGCTGTCTTCTGGATGCCCATTTGGATAAAATAGAAGAATGAAGATTAGAATGTTGAGAGCAAATTCAAGCGGAAGATAGCGCATTTGTATAGGCTGTTACAAGAATAATGAGTAGATGCATGAGCGCCACTGTTTGGGACACCCACTCATAGCGCTAAGTATCTCTAATCAACTGTGACCATGATTTCGGGGTCCCTAGCCAGGGAGCCTAACGGGACATATGTGATCCAGTCTCCTGGTTAGGGTTTTCGTACCCTCAAGCCAGGTCCTCGTTTGATCGCCCTTGATCTTTTTTCCGACCGCTACCTGCCTCGGTGATCGTCGCTCGCCGTGGAAACCAATTGGGTGACATGCGTAACACGTGCCCCAACTAACGTAATCTATGGAGGTCAACTACTTGCTCTAGTGGACGACCACGATAACCTAAGACTACGTCTAACCTCAGCATTGCACGTCCGCTTACCACACCAGACTCGTGCAATGCGACGTATGGAGTAGTGTTCGAACACCGGCGGTCTATTTCTATCCTGTTCTCGTAGTGGCCAAGTCGCTGCACCGTAAAGCACCACTGTCCGAACTACTGCAACGTATACTCGACCCTTCGTAGACAGCTGGATGGCAAATGCCAACCGAGCCTTTTGTAAGCGCGCCGACATTTCATCTGTGTTGCGTTCTGCTGGTGTGATATAGGTTCCCAGATAGCATCATTTGTCCAATTCGGTTACTGATTCCCCGATCAGGGACCAATCCAACCTTGTAGCAACATTTTACACTTTGAAGTTTCGGTCTCCATGTAAGACGATGTTTCTTGTGCGAGAAGTTGATGCTTGACAGAAACAGCCGTGGTCAGCGCAAAGTCTTAATAGGTTTACTCCGCAGCAGTTGATTTACATCGAGCTGTCAAGATTTGAAGTTCACATTTTTTTTACCGACTAAAATCTAGCCAAGACTTGACCGCTCAGCGTTGTATGTATTCGTATTGTATTGTATTTCACATATGTCTGAGTTCAGACTGTGTTCAGCGTTGACATTTCACGTAATGTCGACACCACCAACATCATGAGCTTCAGGTGCCGAATAGCCTGATACACAAAGAGAAGCACGAGAAGAAGCATGAGGACGAAATCTGGTCTGGAGAACGCATGCGTATGTTAAGGACATACCGTTTACGTCTAATTTGAATGTTTGAAGGCTCTAAATGAGGCAGATTGCCGGTCTATCTAATAGTTTACTTACATTGAGTGCAGCCAAGTGAGTCTGTGATTTTGGTTTTGCCAGTATCATAGCTTTTGATTGATTGACCTCAATGGTTAAATGCGGGGTGACAACCCCTGATTGGTTTAAACAGGGAGCTTCTTGAATAATTTGAATGTGAGAAGAAGAACTTGGTAAATGGGAGAGAGGGTTTTTCAAATGGGTGTCTGAGAATGTAGTGTACTTCCATTTCAATGCCCCACTTTCATCGAGCTCATTGAGATAGATTTTAAAAATCTATATTCCATACGAGCTTAAAAAGGTGTATACCTGTGCTCCCAGGCATACTAATAGCTTTTGACTTTAATGACCTACTGGTTTAATGGGTACCGTAGATGCTTGCGATATGCTCTTTGGGTGTTCCAACCAACTATTTGGACACCGCTTCCAATGAACCGCAATCAGCATACATTGACTCAACTTTTTGCGAGTTACTCTTTGAATAACCGAAGGGTTCAGTTTTGATCGCTTGACAATATGACCGGATTTAGCCTGAGAAACTTGACAGTAGTGCAACCAGGAACAAATCGTGGATTTGAAACAGTAGGATATTTTTATCCTATTGATGTGTAGTGAAATGCATGCATTTTACGAGTTCGTTGGCTGCTTACAATACATGGAAGTGCAGCGATTAATAAACCAATGGGTGTAGACGTTATTGTTTGTTCAAAATTGAATATACGGCGGACAGACAGCCTGTCGACACTGGGTTTTGAAAAAAAATACTTTTGTTGCTCGACTTTTTCTATGCACGAGTGAATGGTTTGTGCGTCTCACTGAGAAATACCTTCAGAAAGGCTGACAGCTTTTCAGCTTATTAACATCAAAAATATTTTGGATAAATGAATAAATTCAACTTTAGGATCGGTGGCTAGAATGATTTTTGCTACCGACGAAGCCTGTTGTTTTCTCGATTCCTAGGTACACTGCAAAATGGCTTGACCAATCAATGGTGCGAATGAAAACGTTATTGTATTTGTAATTCTAACTTCTGTAGAGGTAAAGCCTGCATTTCATTCAAAAGCGTACACATTAGAGAGAGGGAAGAAAATAGTTAAACCCTGACATATGTAGCAGTTTGTGAAAATCTGTTCTTTGTAAACTAGAGTATGTGCTAATGAGGGTACCGTAGAGTTACGGTATATATTTATAACGAGACGGAATACAATGATGGATGAGAAAGACAGGAATTTGACTCTGTGTAATAGGTGTGTGGGATCCATGAGAATCTCATGTGCAAGTTTTTCACAGGTATTCAAATGACGTTCGCACAGATCTGTCATCGACTCTTGTTGAAGTATTGGAGAGACATTACAAATGATGGTCAGTCTACTTCGAAGCATTTTACAGTCTTTCTTTAGGATATTTGAAAACCAACTGGTGATGATTAAAATTAAACAAAGAAATTAAACTGCTAAACGAGTTCGGAGTTATTTTTATTTGTTTTTGTTGTTGTTGCTGTTAAGGGCGTTAGCAGACAAATAGCTAATACACATAGAAAATAAGTCTGGTGAAGGATTGCTTCTTGGACTACCCCGTTTTTTCATTAAAGATTTGGACTCCCTCCGACCTAGCCTGATGCATTGAGTTCTCCTAGAGGAATAATCCACAAGCCAATGTAATAACTGCCTGGGACAACCGAAAGTTTCCAGTTTAGTGAGCGGAAGGTAACGAAGAATAGAGTTAAATACACATTAGTAGTCCAGAAACGCACAACGTCCAGATTTCGCAGAGTTATTCTAGGAATTG